AATTATTTATTTAGCAAAAAGGCAATCCTTCTTGATAGTTCTTTGTAAAAGTAAAACTCGAATCACACAGGAACTCAGCACCCGAAAAACTACAAGAAATCTACCAACAAACCCTGAGAAGGTTTTCCAATTCACATATGATGGTATCACAATTGCAGGGTTCCTTCTTAACATTCCTTATTTAGCATACTGCCGTCGATCATATTTTATTTTTTACGACATAGCTTGTTACCATAACGAGTGAAGTAACTGGTAAAAGGCAGGTACTACGTGATACCACCTGTGCCAGCTAATATCAGTTGGATTGTGTTTCGACGGGTTTTCGACCGGTTCAATGGAAAATTTCACCGGGATTGACATGCAAAATCAAGGGGAACACCTTTTACGTAACACGATCGATCTGAGTTCCTCTTTCGTTATTCTAAAAAATGCCGTCACGTGCGTGCCGCGACACCGTGTCGCATACAAAGTTCGCATGTATTTGAAAATTTTTTTATTGTCTGTTCTTTTAATCTACCCCGGAAAACATTACATAATGAAAATCCTAGAAAGTTGTGACGCACCACCATTGGGAATCAACCATTTTTTGTTTCCCAAAAAAATTGGTTTGAAATGTGAAATTTTTATTCAGAATAGCTGAAACGAGCTCTTCACCGTATGAGGCGCAGTCAGGTGACCTTTCGTATCAGCATTAATCCGTCAAACGAGGGCAACAGAACCTGCGTCGTCCTTGGGTCTTTCGCCACATGTTTGTTGAATTGGTGTAAACTCTTGACCGTGTTCCTATGCTCCGATGGTATTGACGAGAGTTCAGGAAATTTTGATACGTACCCCCTAAACAATGCTTTGAAATTCGAAGGTGACCGTTTTAAATCACCTCTTCTTGAGTTAAGAAAAGTTGAGAAGACGACGATATTTACCATTGTCGGCTACAATAATTCCATCATTCGAGAGCAGGTTGCGCTCCAGAATCGTATTGTAATACTTGATGTATCCACTCTTGTTCGCATCTATCATTTTAAAAAAAGAGAATGCATTATCATTAAAGCATAATTCTACGGGTTACCATTTCATCTCACCGATGAACACCAAATCATATGGCATCGAGTTGTCCAAAAGTTCTAGTCTAAATTGTTTGAAGTAAAAATATGTGAGTTGCGGCGGGCAAATGGGATGTGCCCCGGAACCAAATAGACATTATTCTCACAACTCGGAAGCATCGCCTAAAAGAAATTCTATGAGATCGGAATATCCGGCGGCCTCGATGTTCTCTTTGGCCACCCTTTGACACAACTCGTCCTTTTCCAACGTGACCACCTTTGCTCCGTCGCCACGTGATCTCAACCCCTCAGCCATACAAGCCGCCGAATACCCGGCAAATGTTCCAATATCCAATACTCTGTTAGCTTTACACGCTTGCACAAGGAATGTTAAGAAGGAACCCTGCAATTGTGATACCATCATATGTGAATTGGAAAACCTTCTCAGGGTTTGTTGGTAGATTTCTTGTAGTTTTTCGGGTGCTGTGGTCGTGTGTGCTTCAGAGTAAGGTATGTCTTGGATGTTTAGGCGAGATTTGGTGCTTTGAAGTGGTGAAGAAATGTTAATCTCTCGAGACAACTGTAGCCGAGATCTTGGTAGGCATGGTGTCGAGCGTTTAAAAGAGATTGGTAGCACACTTGTTTTGATAAACGATCGAAATAGCGTTATTCGGCATGGCGGCAGCGGACGCATCACGAAAAATTCAAACGCACAAGTTCAATCGAAAAAGTAAAATTATTTATTTAGCAAAAAGGCAATCCTTCTTGATAGTTCTTTGTAAAAGTAAAACTCGAATCACACAGGAACTCATCCCAAGTTAAAAAATCTTGTTTTTTTTTTGTCATACAAATAAAATTCTAAGTGAACTAACTTAGGTATCTCAAAAATTTTCTTATCAAGGCAACATTTCAACTTCCGACGTCAAAAAAATGATCACAAACATTAAGAATCTTAATTTGAAAGAAAAAAAAAAAGAAGAAAATAATAATAATAATAATAATAATAATAATAATAATAATAATAATAAGTATGAAATAAAACTATTGTGACAAATCTATAAGAGGTAAGGTGTAAGATATGTCCCACGAGTGTAATATATCTTCATTTCCTAAAGTGTGACTATCTCGCAATCTCATGCGGGCAAAGAACGATCAATAGACCGATAATTGAAATGGGCTCCTTTGGTTAAGGATAAGGAACGTTGAGGGTCACGCATCACATGACCACATATGACTGATCCTCTTTTCCCAATACTCGTTGCAATCAAAGAATCGTCAGAACGATGACCGCTGATCGAAAGCAGTAAGTTTTCGACCAACATTTAATAGTTTACGATTGCAATCAAATGGAAATATTCGGCTCACCATTAAGACAATCTTCGAGTGCTAAACTTTTTTTTGGAGGAAACATCTCCAAAAAAAGAAAAAAAAAATCGCATGCAAACCTGGTCTGCGATGCAATTGTGTCCAGCTCCTTCACACAAACATTATCTCAACGACCTATCTCATATCAAGCCAGAAAAATCCTGTGCTCCTGTAACTTCAATGCCTCTAGCACGAGCCTTGACTCGAAGATTTCGGTCGTTGGTTATTAAAACGACTGTTTCATTTTTATTTTCGTAATTATGCTCTTCGTGGTTCTTCGCGTGCCATAAACAGATTCCCAGAATAAGGTCGTCCATATTCTTCTTCTTATCCTCGCCACTGCCGAAATCAAATTCTTCACTGTAATTAATTCCAGAGACATAATTTCCCTTACTCGTTTGAATCTTAACCTTCCTTGCTTTGTTTGTCATCGATAATGCCTGCTCAAGAAAAGCAAGCGCTTCCGAGGCCGCGGTTCCGAGAGGTGGTGAATTAAACCTCAAACCATCCAACTCAGTGACAACTGTTATGAATGACATTCAATATTAATATCTCCCGTGTGGTAAGGAGCGCATATAACTGAAATATAGATAGATATATATATATTTTTTTTACCAACTAAAGGCACAACCACCACCCAATTGTCGCTGCATATAATTTTCTTTACCATGACAAGATCTCCCACAAGACAATTCGTATCTACCACGAGTATGGTGTACCCAGGGACAATCCTGGAAAGCGCCTTCTTTGGTATGATCTGTTGATGAGCCTTGGATACATTCGACGCAGGATTTTGCGCTGATAAACCATTATTGCGAGATGCCGCCAGAAGGTTCTTTAATTCCTGGCGACGGGACTAATTGAATTGGTGGTTAGGTGAGTTCGTTAGGAATCCATGGAAACACTTGAAAATTTCGATCAGACGCACCTTCAATTCTTTGATCCCTTCGTCATCCTCTTCGTGTTCATCGATTTCGCTTTCCGAGTCTTCGAATTCGATTTTCTGAGTCGATTCGTTTAAAATTTTTTCTTCGACAAAAAATTTATCTGAAGGTTGACTTTCCTCGACGACCGGGTTTCCACATTCAACATCGAGTTCCGGACAAGAGGTGAATGATGCACTCTCGACGTTATAGCTAAAGCCAATGATTTTCTACAAAAATTATTCGAACGGTCAGAAACACGACTTACTTATACGAAAGAAGTCACAAGCGAATGAACAACTACCGTGGATAGGATGTATCCTAATTCCATAATTCTTGCTCTTCTGCGAGATTTGGCATCTTGGTCCAAACTCAAGTTACGCTCATTATAGATAGCACCCATAAGATCGTCAATTTCATACGCATCAAACTTGATATGGGACCTAGTTTCACATTCAGATAAATACGGGTCGTACATTGGGCCAAGCCATGAAATGCCACGTAATTCCCAGTCCTCGTTCAACGGAGGATGAAGAAGAGTGAATGCGAACTTTTCACGAGAGATGTTTCCTGATGACTCTAGAATCTTTTCCTTGGTAAAGGGTGATACTTGACATGCTATCCTTGTGAGAAATGTCGCCAATGTTTCCCAGAAGTTCTGACATATGTACATTCCCATCAATTTATTTGTCTCGTCCCCGAATCCATTAAAAATTCCATCGGCGACCATCCAGAGCATTACAACCTCACAATATAAGAGCCAACCTTCGGAAGCGTCATTTCCTTCCTGGCATAGTAAAGAATCAAGATATTTGGACATGAACTGTTTCATGACCGTAAAAGTGAGCGTAGATTTTTCGGCGAACGCGGGATCCGTGTCAATGTTTGCGCGGGAACTGGGGGATTTATTAAGAAATGAGCCTTCGTTATTCCCATAATTATGCATGCTAGAAAGATTGATCACTGCCATTTGCAGATAGCATTCTAGCCATTGTGCTTCGTTCGTTTCCTCGACAATTTGAGAGCCCTTCCATTTGCACAATCTTTCCAAGAATACCTCAAGTGTTTGCTCAAAATTCTCGAGTCCAATTTTCGTGAAAAGCATTCCATGCAATCGAACAAATAAACCCTCGGCTGACTGATTGGCAAAGGTGTCTATTGGTTTTTCCTTTTGCGCATAGCCTCGACGTCCCTTTTGCTTTGGTTTCGACTTTTGTTTGTTAAGTTTAGAGAAACGTAGACGATTCGTTTCAAATAACGCGACCAGTGACTCACGAGCGGTGAAGAATGGTGTGTTGACCGAGAGACTTTGAAAAAAGAATAATTCATAAATTTACTTTTTTAAAATAATGATAGCATCTCCGGTAACTACGATTATGAGGTATGTACCTTCTACAAAAGTAATAAAGTGATTTAAATTCGTCTGCGCCAGCGAGAATTGCCAAGTGATGATAAAATTTACCTGGAAAACAAGATTGCGATTAATGTTATAAATCGAAAAATGAACTAACCCAAAGATTTATCCTCACCATTATTCGAGTTCAGTTGAATCCCTATGCGATACCAACGTGATGCATTTCTGGCCCAAAAACTTTTATTTTTTCCGTCACCCTCTGGACAATATGACCACTGATATCTAGTAATATCCCCTAGGCAACCAACACAACGGATCCATCTAGGAGGTTTGTTTTTCTCGGAAGATTTGTCGTGGTGCTTTGTATCAGTGGCAATTTGTTTCAATAATTTCTTATAAAAAACTTCGGCTTCGTTCAAAAAATTTAAGAATTGCTCGAGAATGACTGTGAACGATGATGATGAATGGTTTCGAGACTGTGATTGGTCTAGACGAATTGCGTAGCGAAATTGATCGATCAACGAATAGAATCCAAGTTTCCAACACTTCGTCTCAATGTCGTGTTTCAACGCCGACGAATAACTAAGGTGAATGTATTCAAAATATTTTCTTGCCAACCTAAGAAAGAAAGGGAGAAAAAGGATTAGCACAATGTAAATTTGCGTGTTAAGGTTACCGGTCTCACATACTTCAGGTGTGCATCTATCTTAACTCGCCAATACCCTTCGTCGTAGTATTCATTATGTGACGGTGTTGAATTTCCCCCATTAATTTTATTTGTGAATTTTTCCGAACTTTCAATGATTGGCCTTTCCAGTGACATTATTTTCTTTGATAGAGATTTAACGGTGTCGGCGAGAACTTTTGGACTAACGGCATCTTTTCGAGTGACTTCATCAAGTCGAACAAGATTGTTATGCTTAGATTCATTGGCGCCTTGAGTACGCGCGGGATTGTTATTCAACGTACGAGAACTCACTACGAAGTCTTGCACGACACCTTCACTCCATTTGTAGTCTGCACCATTAGTTTCCTCCCACTCACAGTCTTTGTCGTCATAGGGGTTATATAATTTACGACTTGGAATGCTGACTCGACGGGCGGGAATGAAATCGTCTTCCGTCTCACCATTTGTTTTTACCTTGGATATTGTAAGAATGGGATCCTTGCGAGGGTTGTACAAGCGCCGCGTTGTTGCTGACGGAGGAATATCGCGTTTATACTCGTCGAGTTCCTTTATGTCGAGCGCTTTTGAGGCTTTCACGACAGAGGTGGCCTTAAGCTTGGACATTTTGTGTGCGAACACTTTTCGAAAATTGTAATTACACAGTTACAAATATTGTCGAATGTGATTGGCCGAAATTCCATCGGAAAGTTCCACCCGGAAAAGCTGTCAGTATTATTTTTGAACAAAATCAATAAATAATTCGAATAAAATAAATGGCACACGATAAATAATTAGAATAATATAATTGATAAATTATTTTATGACGAATCAACGTAAAAAATAAATTTGTTTTGTGGATGATGCAAATTGTGGAATAGAAAAAATTTTAATTTTTATATCTCCAATGTCTTTTAAAACTTCCTTAAAGATTCTTTTCTATTATTATTATTATTGCGGAGGTTATATGATATTTACCTGTTATGCGGATCGCGGAATTATTATTATTATTATTATTTTTTTTCATCCAATAAGTTACTGGTTGGAAAAAAATTTGTGATCCACCTTTTTTCAAACATTCATTTCATTCCCCTTTGATACTCGGAAAAAATGGCATTCCCGAATAAAGAAGCCCCGCCCGTAGAATTGGCATACATCCAGATGATACAGGATTCTTGTATCTTTAAAACGGCCTTGAGTGGTGTGGGTGGTAAGATAGTGTTGATTTAATCCACATTTCTTTAGCTCGTAAAATTGTATGCAATCATCCTTTTGAATCTTTCAACAATCCCTTCAATCATTAACGCCTTTTAACCATCGTAACAACAAATGCAGGCTTTGCACTAGGCGGATTATTCGGAATGTTCATGTCATCATTTGAAATGGCTAGCGTTGATCCGGCGATATACGAACAGCCGATGAAACAGCAATTGAAGGCCACCGCGAAGGACATGGCCTCACGTTCTTTCTCTATGGCAAAAAGTTTTGCTGTTATGGGAGCCATATTTTCGGGTACGGAATGCATCATCGAGGGGGTAAGTTTATCAGTCCTCGTTACATCCGTTGCATATCCGTTGCATGATGTTAATCACGGTTCATCCCTTTCAAATTCTTAACCCTCGAAACTCAACAGTATCGCGCTAAAAACGACATATATAACGGCACAGCAGCTGGATGTATAACCGGCGCCTTGTTAGCCGCCAAGGCCGGCCCTCAGGCCGCTTTGATCGGATGCGCCGGATTTGCGGCTTTTTCAACGGCCATTGATTTATACATGCGAAGAGAATAGTAAAGAGAGAAAAAAAAAAAAGAAAAAAAAATTTTTTTTTCGTATTTTCAGTCTTTCGGAATGTTTAAACGTGTGAACTCTTGGATTCTAACTCATAACCTGCGATGTGTACCATTAAAACCTATTCCCCATCAATAATGGGCAAGTCACATTTGCCCAATCCCGTCACCACCCTACTTTCATATACTGACTCGAGAGTGCCCATCTGGCAAACATTTTCATTTGAATTTTGAAAAGACCGGCCATTAAATGTGAATGTGACACTGCTTATATTTGGTGCGTACTTATAAGGGAATTATCACTAGCCACATGCCTTTTTTACAGGTGTGGCGAATAAAAAAGTTTTCCTTTTGTACAATTGATTGGTTATCACGCCTTCTCTCGTTGAAACTTCAAGATGCCTCTACGCTCGGGTGTGAATTCACTCAAACGGCAGATTGCTGCAAATGTGATTACTTTTTAATGCATTCTTTGCTTGTTTTGCAAGTGCTGACGACCAATGATATTCTTTTTCGCATACAGGAAAACTTTCAAAAGGCCGGAAGCATGATGGCCGAAACAAATATGCAACAGGTAACCGAGTCTAATTTTTTCGCGCTATTGTAACATTAATGAATGTTAACACAAATTTGATGATAGAATTTGATTAGTTAAAGGCCCAATTCCAAATTTTGAAAACCAACCTCGAGGAGTATGCTCGCAAGTACCGTAAGGAAATTGAGAAGGAACCCATGTTCCGAACGCATTTTTCAAAGATGTGCGCTAATGCCGGAGTTGATCCGCTTTTATGTAATTAGATATTATTCTTTGCTCCGACATTGACCTTCTGGTTCTGTCAACCTCCCATTAACGAACACCTCTTACACAAAAACTCAGCAAACAAAGGGTTCTGGGCCGAACTCTTGGGATATGGTAATTTTTACTACGATATTTGCGTACAGATAATTGAAATATGTAGGTCCACTCGAGGTAGGAATGGAGGGTTAATTGAATTGGAAGAATTGAAACGACAATTGACAAAGAAACGAAGTAATAACACCAATGGTGGAATTGGTTCATCACAAGTCAGCGAGTAAGTAAAACATAATCTTCTCGGGTGCACACCAAGCTATTAATATTTATGGATTCCCTTTACCAGGGATGATATTGTACGCGCGATCAAGACACTCAAGCCCCTGGGCAGTGGATTCGAGGTATTACAAATCGGCGACCGAAAAATGGTGAGATCGGTTCCCAGGGAATTAAACGTCGATCAGTCTAGCATACTTCTCTTGGCACAGGTATTTTTAATGTTGATTCGATGATTTGACCGAATGAGTCGATGTTTCATAACCATATCTCTGTTCGTTTGTTTTTTTTTTTCCTTCAAGTCGAAGGGCTATGTTACGAAGGGGATGATTGAGTCAGAATTGAGATGGGCGAAGGAGCGTATTGACGATGTTGTTGTAAGTCCAACGATTTAAATCATCAAAGACATTTGAACAAACCTGTTGACGTGGATTTCACATTTCCATATAGGATACCTTGCTTGCAGATGGTCTTTGCTGGATTGACGAGCAAGCGGATCCGATCGAATACTGGGTACCCAGCTTCTTCAAAGGTGTAAATGACTGAAAGATCTACCAATGATACTTTCATAAAGGCATTTGTTTTCATTTCTCCAATTTTAAATAGATTATTCATATCTACGCGTTCTGCTATTCCCATCTGCGATAAGGCTTAATAAGAATCCAATCATGATCACCTGAATAAAATTGAAATAAATTGATGTCTTATATTGTATATCATGTCACACAGAGAATCGGGGTACAATAAACTGTCTCAATAATTTTGTGACATCGAATTTTGAATTCGTTTTTTTTCTTGTTCTGTTCCCTGTCATTACATCTCGCCTCGCTGCCTCGAGAAACAATCATGGTACGCTGTGCGGAAGCAAATATATTTTTCTTGCGTAATTTCCACTCTTCACTTGAACATTCAGTGTTTAAGGTTTTCTAATGGGCTTACAGGATGAGCAATATGATGTCATCGTTCTTGGTACCGGCCTGACTGAATGTATTCTTTCGGGACTATTGTCTGTCGACGGAAAGAAAGTTCTTCACATGGATAGGAATGACTACTACGGCGGAGAAAGTGCCAGTTTGAACTTGACTCAGGTGTGCTTAGAAACTTTGTATCGAGACTTCAACCTCTTCAAGAATACGTGATAATGCGTCTTGATTTGTCCAGTTCAATGTGACTGCACTCTCACTCATCAGTTTTATCTCATGAGACGCGCTTTAATGACAATTTTTTATTGATCGCATCCTTAAACCTTTAACCTTCCTCCGGGATTGTATTGTTTGTTTATTTATTTTAACGCACCTAATCCTTTTATCATTAGCTTTATCGGAAATTCCGTCCAGGAACAGAGTCCCTACAAGAATTGGGACGTGATCGTGATTACAACATCGATCTCATTCCCAAATTTATGATGGCTAATGGAGAGCTTGTGAAAATCCTCACTCACACCGACGTAACACGATATCTCGAATTTAAACAAATCTCTGGTTCATACGTATTTCGAGATGGCATAATTTCCAAGGTGCCCGCCAGCGAACTCGAAGCCGTTCGTAGTCCGTTGATGGGATTATTTGAAAAGAGGAGAGCAAAAAAATTCTTCGAATACATGCAAAATTGGAGAGAGAATGACCCAAGTACTCACCAAGGTAATAACTAAATGGTTTCACGTCAATGTTCACTATGATCTTTTCTGCTGAACCCTCATCTCGATCATTGTCTTTCCCGTTCATGAATCTTCTAGGGATCGACCTTAACACTGTGACGATGTCAAAGGTTTACGAAAAGTTTGGTCTTGAACCTGGTACCCAAGATTTTATTGGTCATGCTATGGCCTTATACTTGGACGATTCGTATGTACCGGATGTTCATCGATATCCTGTTAGTCTAATCAAGTTGATACTGAGGTGTTTATAATTCCTTAGCTATCTTGAGCGTCCCGCCCGTGAAAGTTATGACCGAATTATCTTGTATATCACTTCGGTCGCTCGTTATGGAAAGAGCCCGTACATCTATCCGTTGTATGGTTTAGGCGAACTTCCTCAAGGTTTCGCACGGTAAGATTCCCTGACGAAACGTGATCCTCCCTACATCCTTAATAAAAAAATAATGATGACTCCTCAAATCAATAGTTTGAGTGCCATCTATGGTGGTACTTATATGCTCGATAAACCGGTAGATGAGATCGTTTACGATGCAGATGGTCGCGTTTGCGGCGTACGTTCGGGCGATGAAGTAAGATAGATGTGATTCTTTAGTTTCATCAAGATTCAAGCCATCCATGTGTAATATATTAAAGAGGGTTTTGCACCTTTTTATAGGTCGCCAAAGCAAAGCAAGTTATCGGTGATCCCTCCTATTTTCCCGGAAAAGTTCGAAAAGTTGGAAAAGTCATTCGTGCCATCTGTATACTCAAGCATCCTATACCCAACACCGATAATGCCGATTCCATTCAATTGGTGATTCCACAAAATCAAGTCAAAAGAAAACATGGTAACGCTCATTTGATTATTTATTTTTAATTTATTTTTCCTTTAATGCCTGCTTGATGTCCAATCTTAACTTCGAATCAATTAGATATCTACATTGCCAGCGTGTCTTCCGCTCATAATGTTTGTGCAAAGGATTACTATCTTGCCATTGTATCTACTATCGTTGAAACGGACAATCCGGAGGCTGAAATTAAACCTGGTCTAGACCTACTTGGACCGTGCGTTGAGAAGTACGTATATATTTCTACGATCTATGGTTCATTTTCTGTCATTTCATCAATTAGTTAATAGTGTCTCGACGGAATTTTTCAACCAGATTTATCAGCATCTGTGACCTCGAGGAACCGGTTGAAGACGGTTGCAAAGACCAAGTTTTCATATCTCGCTCATACGATGCCACATCTCACTTTGGAACTGTATGTGACGATGTTACGGATATCTACCGAAGAGTTACCGGCAACGACCTCGTTCTAAAACAGAGACCGAGACAAGAAGATGAACAAAGAGAATATGGCGAAAATTAAATTTATTTATATTAGTATTTTGTAGTCGCGTTATTATATTATATTATGATTGTAAGGGTGTACCTTCTTAAAATTTTTTTTGAATCTGGGTCTCAGGCTTATTATTATCTCACCATTAATATATTCGAGTGGCTAAAACATTTTTCATAAAATTTTAGGCGGGAAAATGGTAAAGATGACCAAAATAAATAGAGCAATGTTAATTTAATATTCGTGGGTGCGTCTGCGGTTAGATACGACATAAATCACCTATCCTAGACGTAAAGTTTCGCGTAGCCCAAGTTTTATTTAAAATATTAATGCGCGATCTTGCAGTTACAAGTTTTACGCAACCCTACCCCATTGATTGATGATTTTGCAAAGTCTATGAAAACAATCTTCCAAAGCGAAAAGTGTAAAATAATTTTTTTTTTAATGCTGACTCACCCGTGTTTTATTTATACGCAAAAAATTCATTCCATTGGAGTCTATGTAAATTACAAATATATAAAGAAACTCACTTGAATAATATATTTAAGGGTTTACAGTTTATCAAATAAATACAGAAAACAAGTTATTTTAAGTTTCATTTAATTAGAATAAAAAATATATTGTATATAACTATTTAGTATAAATTATCTTTTTAATAAACAAAATTCTTGGATTTTTTTTTTATTCACCGTCAGACTAATATAACTTGTTCTTTATTGTATATATTATTTAAAAATCTGAACAAACCATATAACTTTCACATATTAACTTATCTATTATTGAAATTTATCTTCTCTAGATACAACTTAGAAAGTAATGTTTCATTTCCTTAATAATTGGAATTATTTTTTAACCATCAAGTTTCTCTTCTACAATTTATTACTATAAATCTTCTTGAGTTTGGTTTAATGATTAAAAATCTAACTAATTTATTATTTTTTATAATTTATTTATCAATAATTTTTTCAAGACATTTTCTAAATTGTAATATATGTTTAGTAGACATAAATCAGAAAAATAATAAGAACCTCATAAAAGTACATCTAAAAAGATATGGAGAAGTTTAAAATATTCATACCTATAAGATGAACACAAAACTATGAGTGAAAGCTTATATCAAATGGCACAAATATCTTAGCCTAAACCTTGAAGCAATTTGGATAACTCCAATTAGCATAGAAATATCAAGAGCTATATTTTTTAAATCTGAACTCAGTAATAATAAAATCAATCAAATATTAATTAAGAGAAATAATAACTTAGCAATACTCATAGATACTGACAAAATCTATACCAATTAAATAGTTAGAGCATTAAATAGTATACAAATTAAGGTATGCTATATACTCAAAGATTTCTATATACTCAAGAAACATAACTTTATAATAGTTTGCTTTAAGACAAAAGAAGAAAGAGATAATATATATAAATAATATATTTTCTTGCAGGAATATCATCTCTTATAAAATATTAAATATACATTCAAAACAGAAAGACAGAATCCTAAAGATGAAAATAGAAATACAAGATTTAGATCCAAAAATATAGATGTAGACAATAAATCAATACATGCTTACAGTTAGATAATGAATTAACAGAATCTATTTCTATTTCAACAAGTTATCATAATTTCAAGAATTTAAAATAGATTAGATAGTGAAGCAATAATAGAATAAGACATGAAAGAAACAAAAGAAAAGCATATCCTATAACAGAAAGCAATAAAGAACCAATCAGAAATCAATGAAACTATAGATATAGATTTTCTGAAGATAACATGAGACCCAAAATAGAAAGCACGCAAGATCCTTTAATAAGTATTCTAACTAATCTAGAAAAACTAAATACTAGAATAGATACCTTAGAGGAATAAACAGTCTTCAAAAGATCAAGACTTAGTAATAAAGAGACAAACTGTTCTTAAAAGTGTACCAGTTCTTGATAGCAATTAAAAGGAGCAATAGTTCATTGCTTCCTCATCAAAAATCACAAATATAGGCAACAAATGAACTTTAAAAAGTAGTAACAGAATAGAAAAAAAGGAGAATATAAATATCATAAAATTTCTATAAGAAGAATAAAAAAAATTTTTTTAATAATAGTAGATATAGACTAATAAAAAAACCAAAGAAGAGAATGAGATAGGTAAAAAAGTGATCAGAATAGGTACATATAATATTAGAGGAATTATAGATAAAACAAAGCAATAAAATCTAATTGAAAAGATATCAAAACAAGAAATAGGTATACTGGGGTTATGTGAAACAAAATTGATATTTCAATAATTAGAAAGACTATAAATACTTTTATAGTACTAACAAAAGACATATTATTCAGAACAGGAGTCATTCTCTTAATCAGAAGAAATCTGAAAAAAAAGATTGCATCAGTAGAAAAAAAAAGAAGAATATATTATTGCTCCAATATGCTTATGAAAAGAAACAAGATCTGTATTATACAAATCTATATTTCTTTAAATAAACTAAGATGCAAGATGGTATAGAATAAAATAACCAGCCTTATTAAAAAAAACACAAATAAAACTTTTACATAATAGTAATAAGAAATTTTAATATGGCCTACAATCTATCAGAAAATAGAAAGTCCTTCTCAAAAGCAAGCTTTAGATCATTATAGTGATTTGAAATTTCACTATTCAACTTTTTTGATAAATGGAACTTTATAGATATGCAAGCTATATGGAAAAGTAAAAAAAACACTTCAATAAGAAGAAACCTAACAAGTAATAGTAGAATAGACTATATTTGGATCTCTTATAGTCTAACAAGTTATTCACTATTCTGATTTTATAATCTAGACATGGAAAATATTATAGAAAGTAATCACATCATGCTTCTAATAACTCTATATGATAAAGACCTCTTTATAAGAAGCAGAATCACAAAACATTTTGCAAGTATATTATGAAGAATTGATATAAAGGATATATTGTATCTCCATTATAATAGTAAGCATTTCGTGAAAGTGTAGATCACAAATTTAAAACAATACTAGAACCATTGTTACAAGAAGAATTCAATCTAAATAAAAGAGAGAATCAAGCAAACAAACTATAGAAAACCTTTGAGAAACTGTTATGTAAAGTAGTCTTTAACAAGCTAGCAACAAAAAAAATATTTCAATATAAAAAAAAGTACTATAAGTATAGTACTGAATTTATTAGTTATAAAAAAATCCTATAACCTAAAAGACTTTACAATAAAGCAAAAATATAAAAAAAAATATATGAGCTTTATATCCTTAGCTTAGTTATAGACAATCATAATAATACTTACAATCCAAGTTCTCAGATCAAGAACTATTGTATCCAATATTTATCTTTAATATACCATAGAAATATTTGAAAAAAAATATTCAAGATATTATAGAAAGTTTTAAATTTATATATCAAAGATTGGAAGTAAAAAAATAAAAGATGATATTAAAACTGTTCTGAAATAGAGATGTGATAACTTGAAAAACAACCAGAAAGGAATAGTTAGCTCTTTAACCAATTGAACTAGAAGTAAAATAGTATTAGATAGAATTAAGGTCAAATAAGTTAATAACAAATACATTACAACTCAAAAAGATAAAATTGAAATAAGATAGTATTATTGTGAGACCTTTAAAAAAAGAAAAGCTAGCTATGATAGTTTAGCAGAAGATTAGAAAGAAAGTATAAATCAAGAGAATATATCCAAATATCTTGATACAATAAACTACTTAAGCCAATCTCACAAGAAGAATTAAGTGAAATACTAAAAGCATTTTTCAATAATAAAACTTCAGAAAAATCTCAAATTAGTTACAAAATATTGAAAAAGTTGAGCCAAGAAGGAAAAGATTTCTTGAGAAGAATGCCGAATAACTTTTTAAGATGAAAAGTCATTCCAAAATATTAGAAATAGAGTCATATATATCCTATAGTAAAACCCAAACCTTGGAACTACAGTATAAATTCTTAAATACTGTACTAGATATATTGTTCTATTAGAGATTACAAAAAAATATTTCACAAAAATTTTCATAAAAAATGAAAAATATTTGTAAAAACAATAATATTCTCAAAGATCTGAACTATGCAAGGCTATCAAGAGAAAGTATAATAGAACCAATTCAAATTCTTAACAATATCTATAAAGACACCTGAGAAAACAAAAAGGAACTATGGATATTTTTTTCAAGATATTGTAAAAGCATATGGTATAATTAGTTTAGATATGCTGATAAAAGCAATAAAAAGAATCAAAACTTCAAAAGGTTTTATAAAAATTATTATGAGTCTTTTTCAAAATAAAGAATTCCAGATCATATTTGAAAATAATCTCATAGAATTAATAGTAGCTAGAGATAAAATTAATTAAGAAAAAACTATTTCATCTTTACTATGAAGAATTTTTTATGATTTTCTTTTATGCAAAATCCAGAATGATACATAAAGAGGATACAAAATATCAGTTATATAGAACTCTGACCTTAAAAAACAGATTACAAGAAGGTTATAATCAAGGCATATAGTTATAGTCTTTATGGATGACACAATGTAGATAGCAAAATCTAAGAAGAATATAAAAAAAATTTTAAAAACTGCAAGAATCTTTTATACAACTAATGACTCTCAAATAAATGGTAACAAATTAGTCTTGGTTACTATTAATAATCTGAATTGCTATCTAGAAGAGATAAAGGTAGGTATTGAAGAAGAAATAGTTAAAGAACTTGATAGAACAGAACAGGTTAGATTCTTAGAAATCTGAATAGATAATCAAAAAATTGCAATCAAGCTTAAAGAATTAGTACTTAAAGAATTTAACATAATAATAAAAAGCCCTTAAACATAAAAATGTAATAGATAAACAAGCCCTTTACATTTTGAATAGAGTATTAATATCTAGGATAGAATTTAAAATGTAATATAGCAAATTGTCCTAAAAAATATGTAACATCTTGATAATAGTATACAGAAAATTCTTCAAGAATAAAAGTGGTTTATGCAGATCTATGTTCAATAGTATAATTTACTATTCAAAGATCTATAACTTGAAAACTATTTGGATATTATAAAGAAAAAACTAAATAATAGGGCTTTGCAATAAACTAAATGATCCTAAACCAGTAGGAATCACAACAATCATTAGACTCAAATAAGTACAGGTAAAAAATTGGGAACCATTTCATTTATTAACCTGTAAATCCTTAAGTCATCTAACAGATAAAGATAATTTCTCATTTCAAGTGATCAAAATTGTTAAAAATATAGGAATACTATTTTATAGTTGAAAATGGCAAGATACTTTTGAATAAAAAAAAATAAAACATTTGGATTGAAGAATATCTTGTACCAGAAAAATATAAAAAAGTCATATTATTATTTAGAAATAATTAACTGATGTACCTGAATCAGCTGATCAATTAGAAAACCAAAAAAAATAAGAAATTGACGAATGCTTTAGCTCCTATAAGATACAAGCAAAGGATCTATATCAGAATAGTTTTAAATTATAATCAAAAATCTTCCAGGAAACCAACTAAAACAGCTTATAAGATTCAAGAGAAAAAACTATATGAAATGAAAATCAAAATACTCAAAAATAAATCCTAATTGAGACAAACAAAAAAAATTGTGGATAGTTAAAAAACAAAAGAAATCAAGTAACTGGAAGAAAATTAAGACAAAAAAAAATATTGTGATAGTGAAGTATTTTACTAGTTGTAACATTAACAATAATTAGAAAATCAATATTTAAAAATGTCTGGAATATTTGGAAGGCACAATACTAAATAGTGACTATATCATAAAAAGAGAAATATACATAATACCATATCTCAATATAAAAAAGTTTACCATAAAAACATGAGATTTAAAAATTCTCAACTTTAAATCAATACTTGAAAAAAGGATTAAAGAAGTAATTTATAACAACTAAAATCCTTTAAAAATTCAAAATGATAAAATAAATTACGTGAATATTGAAACCTGGAAAGAATCTATTATTAAGGAATATATTAGAGAAGGAGTATATCAAGATCACCTAATAGATATACTTTAATATAACCTTGGATCTAAATTTTTTATTCTGATGAATCACTTATTAATCATGGAAAAGAAGATATAAGATGGAAGTAGCTTGAATTTAAATAGGAAAAGAAGAAAAGAAAAGCAAGTTTCAAATAAAAGTAAACAATTGATTCTCATTTACAAGAGCTAAATTGATTGCAATAATAATAATATTCCTGGTAATTTCAATTGAAAGTATGGTAAAGATTTTTATAGATAGTCAAGCATATATTTTCAAGTGTAAATCTTTAGAAAAAGAAGACCTGAAAAGGATACACAAGAGATGATTCAAAGAAAAGAATTGGTTTCTATGGATATATATAGTAGAGCTAATAAAAAAGAAAAATATAAATCTAAAGCTTACAAAAGTCAAAGTACACTTAAATGATTCTTATAATGAAGAAGTAGATATCTTGACTAAGGAAGTCCTAAAATTTTTATTGATTGAATAAAAAGATCTTATTTCATATAAAATTATTATTAAAATCAAGTGGCAAGGGACAATCCTAGATAATTCAATTAGGTAATTTATTAAAAATATGAATAATAAAACAATAGTCTATTAGTAGATACAATAAAATAGAATAGAAAAAAATGAAATTATCAGATTTCAGAATATCAGGCTCATACATGGGACCTAATATGGGAAAGGATTAAAGATGAACATATGTGAAATACATCTTTTAAACAATCTCAACAAAAAAGTTTTTTTTATTAAACCAGTCATTAATAAGCTATCTACCTTAAGTAAGTTGACTATAAGAAAACTGGATCTATACAAGCAAGTGAAATATATTACATATAGTTAATAAAATGAAACTATAGAACACTTGCTAGAATGTTCAGTCTATAAGGATCAGCTATAAGAGACATGGAATAAAAAAGTAGATAGAATTATTAAAAACTTTAAAGAGCTATAGTGAGAAAAAAAAAAAAGAGGCTAAAGAGAAAAATTTTAAGTTGATTATTAATGACTAAGAAGAAATAGGAGAGTTTGACAAGTAAATCTCTAAAGTGGTGAAACAGACTTCTAAAATTAGCCAAAATATATTAAGTTTCTGTACTGGTCTTATAAGAACTGATTTTATTCTAGAAATGGTAGATCTAAAATGCCAAGATAAATATATAGAAAGAATAACAAGAAAGTGAATAATAAAAATGTAAAAAAGAGTCTGTAACCAAATTCGAAAAGAAGTTTGAAACAAGAGATGCAAAAAGATAATCAAATTAAAATAAACACAAAAAATTAATAAAGAAGACAAGACAAAAAGATCTCATTGTCTTTCAGGCCAGAAAACTATAACTCTGAAAAAAAGAAATCTATTACTTAAAGAAGAAGATTTCAAAGATGAAAGCTTTTGAGAAATTTTAACAAGAATAGTAAAGTATAGAATGAAATAATGGATTTTAAGCTCTGTCAGAACCTCGCAAAGTGATTTGCAGTAGTGATTTGCAGACAATAAAGTTAACAGTTGAAATGGTCTTTATCTGAACTATTAACAGAGTGATAAATCACTCCTGAAGTTGTACTTAGAGTTTTAATAATTCTTAAAATAGAGACAAGTAAGTTAGGTAGATAATTAGCTTTAGTAATATATTTTTTAATGTAAAGTATATATATATTTAATAAAGCATACATACTTAACCTGACAAAGGGTTTTAAAAAAAAAAGAAAGATTTGTAATTATATTTAAAAGAAAATAAATTAAAAAATTTTATATTATATATAAATTTTAAATATAAAAAGATAATTAAATAAAAGCAAACACAAAGAATCAATAGAAAAAACAAAATAAAAAAACCATCAAACTTATCAATTAAAAAAAACTAAAGTCATAATAATCAAAGTAATAGAATAAGAAGAGGAAAGGTTAAAAGATAAAAATTTAAAGGAGGTTTTAATAAAAAAAGTAAAATATAAAATGAAATAGTTGGGTTTTGATTGCTATTAGAGCTTGTTAAGTGATCTGCAGTAGTGACCTGTGAACAATGATATTAATAGTTGAAAGGGATTTTATTCAAACTATTAATGAAGTGATAAATTATTTCCAAAGTTACACTTAGAGTTAGGTTAACTAAAACATATAAGTTAGCTAAAGTTTTAACTTTTGCAATACATAATATACAGTATATAGCTTACAAATTGTTTAATAAAGCATATGGCTAACTTGACAAAGGGTTAAAAAAAAAATACTGTATGTAGGAATAATTTATTTATTATATAATGCAGACTTAATTTTCAAACAACATTTTATTAAATGATTAAAAAATCCGGTGAAGAAAATTAAGGAATCGTCATAAAAGAAACAATATCATATTTCCTGTACAACTTTGAAACGAAAGTCATAGCTAATATATTTTAAGTGTATTGATTAGTCTATAATAAAAAGTTCTTGTATGTGTTTCCTCAATAGTAGGAAAATTAATAGTAGTACACTATTTAAATTATTAACAATCCCCTTAAAACCATTTCAAAGACTGGATGAACTGTATGATTGTTTACTCGTTTTAATCAATCAAGTGATTACATCAAATGAATCTTACGCATGCTGTGCTTAGTTTAATATGACTGACCACTTGTGAGGAATTTCACCGTATTGTATCCCCATTAATGTATCAGCAAGTCGCCTAGTTACTGGCCCTGCTTGGCTAGAAGCATCATTCGGATCTAATGGTACCGTTAAATTTAGACCTCGGTAGTAAATGCCTTTAATGGGACTAACAACGCAGGCAGTGCCTGAACCAAACATCTCTATCAAGCGACCTTCTTCTGTAGCTTTTACTATTTCAGGCATGGTAATTTTCCGCTCAGAGACTTTAAACTCGTTCCACGAACGAGCAAGACTTAATATAGAATCACGCGTCACACCCGCAAGAATAGATCCATCCAGGGGCGGTGTTACAAGTTCAGTTTCTAATAATGTTAATATTAATTTCGAAGACTACTTAAGATAGATGCCAAAAATCGACTACTTTACTCACCACCAAGGTCGTTTTTTAAGAGAACAAAACAATTCATGGTACCCACTTCGGTAATTTCATCATTCTCACCAAATAACCATAAATTTTGCTGATAACCTTTTTCAGCTGCCTCGAGTTGAGGCTTGACGCAAGGTGCATAATTTCCACCAATTTTTGCATCTCCAGTACCACCGGGCCAGGCTCTTACATTTTCGGTTGTGGCTAACAACTGAACAGCGCTAAATCCCGTCTTATAGTACGGTCCTACTGGTGAACAAATAATGAAGAGAAGAGCCTGCGAAGTTGCACCGACTCCTAAGGATTCTTGGGTGCCAATGAGAGTTGGACGTATATACAGTGAGTATCCTCTATCCGCAGGAATCCAGCGTTCCTCAAGGCGAACAAGATCTTTTAGGCATTCTAGTAACTCATCCTCGTTAAATTTCTAATTAATGCCAATGGATGATAAATTATGAGAGCATAAACATTTAATAGCATTTATGCAGCACTCACTGGTAATGAAATCCTTTCGGCGGATTTTTTAAATCTCTTCATATTCATATCAGGTCTAAATAACCTTATTTTTCT